AAGGTTGCTTTGTGAAGACCTGTAAAATGCTGGGACCAAAGCGATTCACCCGAATAAGCTCGCAGCTTCACAAGAGTTAGCAGGTCTTGTCAGGGGCCTATCAGCAGTTCTGGCGCAGTGCTGAAGTCAGTCAGGGCGGTGTCAGCGGCGTATAGACTGTGGCGCAATGGCAGCCCCTTTCCCAAAACTTACTGAATGCTTTAAGCCGAAACCATCAATGAAAAAGGCTGGCGTCGCGCCAGAACTCACCCACGCTGACACGCCTAATATTAGTGATAATGGCTGCATGTATGCAGAGGGGTCATGCTTTATGAATTCACTTGCTCTCGAAAAACTGGGGAGTACAGATATCGTCCTTACAACAATTAACCACATATCGGACCCCTTTTATCACTTGAAAAAAGGCTTGAGATGGAGATATTTCAAACTAACCTGATACATCGACACTGAAATGGCCAGTTGAGAATTGGGTATAAACCGTACTGCATGAACATTATTTGGATGAACACCCAATGTCCTCACTTCACTTCCAGTCTGCAGATCCCACAGCTTAGCAGTACGATCTGAAATGACACCAACCGTAAGATAAAATTAGCCAACAGTATGTTACGTTGGTATTGGGGAGACGAAAAAGGCAACAGTAATTTGCCGCGCTGTCGCGCGCGATCAGGCAGCGATGTGTGGAGGGTTCTCATCATGCATCATTTTGTCCATTGAAGCAACAAAATCTATAAGAATTTAAGCGGAGGCAAGATTCTATGCTAAGTGATATCTATCTTCTCTACTACTTTCAAACGATTAATTTAGACAACCCGTCTCTCGCGCGCGCCGCGTCGCTCGCCACGCCTAGCGCGGTATGTCTGGGGGTCGCTGGAGGAAGGGGAGGGGGATCGTATTCGTCTCTTAAGGGGAATTGTTTTGGTTTTCGACGTTTCTCAGGCCTTTGCTGTTTCAAGTGCGCCGTACCCCCCCCCCCTCCATTCGCCCGCTCAACGGCAGTTTTTTCAAGGGGAAATGTAAAACTGCGGAAAAGTGACAGGTATTTGGAAAATTTAGAACGATGGAATGGGGAAGGGGAGGGGAGGGGTAGACTTAGAGGGATGTCGTACTTTGCAATGATTTTTCTTTCAAAGGAATATGCCAACCTGATGTAGAATATTAAAGGGAAGCCCACACTGATCACATGGACGGAGACAGCCAACCGTTGTTCTGTCCAGCGGAAAGGCGTGAATGACCCTGATTCAGATTGTTACAGGCACAGTCCACGCTGACTGTACAGCTAATCTTGACCACATTACAGCGAAGGAGATCACTGATGAGGAAAGCACAACTATATTGGGCTCCGCCTATGTGCTCATCGCGGAATGTGTTTTCAACCTACTGGGTTTTATAGTACCAGTCTGGCTGACGCGCACTACTGCGCGCATGGTTAAACCCATGGTACTACGATAACTGACAGGATTTGTCCTGAGCACCAACACTTAGCCTAATTCCCATGTTTCGAGGACGACCCATTTCATCATGTTTCTCCATTTTAATGAACATTTGCCAGTGTTTGGTGCCTATCATATTCTAAAAGCACCATTCGTTGGGGATAGGACAGCATAGCGGTGGGAAGAATCTCGATGATAAAAAAGTCGAAAAGACCGCTAAACTGAGGGATATTGCTAGGAATAGAAATTTGGCCACGATGATGTGAGCATATACGGAGTCCCAAAAGCGGTTGGTAATATTCCTTGAGCACCCCTGAATTACTTGGAGCAGTTCCACAGTGTTGCAACAACTCTGCTGTGAATTTTCGGGGTATCTTATTTTATCATGTCCTGCCACAAACCAATAATGGTCCCATCCTGCACACTATCTTGCCTCTTGGAACCGACGTCCCGTTGTGCTGGTCGACGTTGTGAGTTAGGTGTCCCTACCCTTCTAAGGCTCCTTATGGTATCTTATCAGCTGTTATCAATTCCTGCCACCCACCAATAATGTTCCCATCCTGCCCCCTATCTTACTTCCTGGAACCAAGGTCTCGTCGTTGCTGTG